CCTGTTTGTTTCCTAACTGGACATTTCTGATGTCAACAGTTCCCAACAGGGCCAGTTTGACCGTTCAACCTAACTGGCCTCAGATATTCAGTGGTGAGACGATCACTCTCAGATGTGAGGTGGAGACGCTCAGTGGACGTATGAATGGAAACCAGACAAATTAAACTCACAGTCTCCAACAAAAAGTGAATACAGGATTATCAGTGCTACTGTGTCCCACAGTGGAGTATACAGGTGTAAGGGTAGAAATGACTCATATTCCTCAACAGAGTGGAGTAATGTCATCAGATTGAAGGTATCACGTAAGTTGGACTGTCTGTTATTCATATGGAAAATTACATGCTTTTATGCTTTTATCCATACAAATAAAGCCACAGGAAACATTTATCCCTCTAACAATAATAATGAAGTCGCTTGCAGAACAGAAGTAAGGAATTGTGTTCCTTAGTGTGAAAACAGAATAACTTTAGAGAAACCATCATACATTGTACTGTTCAATTCTAATGATTCACAGGTAAGAACAGAGAACTACACAGTTAAAGTCCAAGTGATTAAAAATCGCACTGAATCTGTGCTGAACTCACCAACAGGACACCTTTTACCTACTAGCTGTGAACGTTTTTTATATGGGAACCATGCATCACATGATCGCCATAGCTATTCTGTGTCCACTGAAAAACTGCACTAATAATACATCAACAGCAACTAGTTAGCTTTGTGGTAACGACTGTATTATTGACCAAGGAGTGTCATGTGTTACATGCACAGTTTTTAATGATTTATTGTTCAAAGAGTATGATTATTTATAAGTCTGTTATGGTGAATATTTTTATGTTTATGTTATGAAGCAACAACATTTTTCTGAGGGAAGTTATTTACCTGTTTTTGTTTTTTCTCTAAACTGAACAGCAAATAAACCTAAGACCACACTGACAGCACACAATACCATCATACCAGTAGGGGGCACTGTGACACTGACCTGTTATGTCTGGGGCTCTTTTGACTGGAAATACTACTGGTTCAAACGTACATCAGACTCTTCTGAAGCTCAGCTCATAAGGGATGGTGTACCAGACAGAGTTATCAGTGTCTCACAAGGAGGTCTCTACCACTGCAGAGGAGGAAGAGGAGATCCACTGTTCTTCGCAGAGAACAGCAATAAAGTCACCATTCAGGCAACTGGTGAGTTTAGTTATTTCTTCTGGAATAAAACAATATGCATTATTAAAATCTGTGATCAGTAGTAAAGAAAATACTCATTTTGGTACAGTAGCAAAAAAGAACATAAATTAAAAATGATCATGTGTCTGGAGCTGAACAGGTGGACTGTCAGAAGGAGGGTGGAGCTTTGTTTGTGGTCCCTCTTCCCCAGTGACTGAAAAAGAAAATAGAATCTGTAATATTTGTCAGAAGTGCCTACTGAATTATGAAAAAAACAGAACATTAGTCAACAGTAACTGTAATATTCCTATCATTCCTATCTTTTTCTGGACTTTAACATGTGTGGCATAGTTTAATGAATTACAATAATAAATACTGTACTACTTAAAATACCACATTTTTAATATCACTTCACAAAAATGTCCTTTAATAAGATATTCCAATAGTAAATTGTGATTTTTCTCTGTTGTATTTACACCTCATGGTGTGACTGTTTTTTGAGAAATTTGGAGTGATGCAAATGAGTGTTCAGAAGAAAATGACCAAAATGAAAGGTAGAGTGAACACACACAGCCGAAAAACTGTTGAGATTTCTCTAGATTTACAGGGTTAGTGATGACAGATTGTGCTGGAAGGTAAAAATAAATGTTACTGATGCCAAATCACAATTTTCTTTTATTAAAATTATTAGGATTTTAAGTTCCATAAACTTTAAATCCTAATGTTGAGTAAAACTTTGCTGATTTGTTAATAGACAATTTATTGAAACCATTTGTTATTAACCACTAGACATAAAGCACAACACTTACGCCAAAATGTTTTTCCATATTGCTGGGGTCAAACAGTCAAGTCTCTGTACTAAATGTATCCGGTGGGAGACTGTTGTGATCGCTACTGTGAGCTCTTGTATTCCTTCAGCAGTTGCTACGATTAATACTGTTTGACACTTTAGTGACCTTGTGAGTAGTGTCTGTTAAACAATTTGCAACATTAGAATTGTTGTGCTTTAACGGTGGAGATGTTGATATGATTTTTTAAATGTTTAATATAAAGATTATAGCAGAAAATGATTGCATTATATCTGGTTAGTTTTTAATCCTGTTTGTATTTGATGTCAACAGTTTCCAACAGGGCCAGTTTGACCCTTCAGCCCAACTGGCCTCAGATATTCAGTGGTGAGACGATCACTTTCAGATGTGAAATCCAGGGAGTAGGAGACACTCAGTGGACGTATGAATGGAAAACACCCAGCTCAGAAAAACCTTCAAATCAAAATGAACACAGTATTTGGTCTGCTACTGTATCCCACAGTGGAGAGTACAGGTGTAAGGGCAGAATGAAACATGCTCAACAGTCTTCAACAGATTGGAGTGATCCCATCAAATTGACAGTATTTGACAGTAAGTCTCATCATATTTATTTTAATATTATACAGTGCACTAAATGGCTGTTTGGTTGATATGTGTTTTAAGTAAAGTAAATCTTCAAGTTTGTATGTACTGATTGTACAGGATGCATTTGATCCACTATTGATACATGTTTACATTCTGAAAAACCACTTTTCCAACAGAACCTCAGTCTGTCCTCACTGTGTCTCCATTATGGCTGAGTCCTGGAGACTCTGTAACTCTGAACTGTGAGGTTGAACATCCATCTGCAGGATGGAGGTTCTACTGGTATAAGGCTGTTCCTGATCTATCATCCAACTACAGCTATGAGCTGCTACCTGGCAGCAGCAATGGGACTGAACAGGATTCCTACATCGTACATGGACAGATACACACAGCAGGATATATGTGCAGAGCTGGAAGAGGAGATCCAGTGTATTACTCTCAGGACAGTAAACCTATGTTTGTCTGGTCTGGAGGTCAGTTTGTTTCTGTCTGTCCTCTCAAGAAGCAGATGTTGTTTTATCACCTCGGCTCATCTATTTTTAAGTACCTTGAAAACTAACACCTTTGTTGACAAAAAATTGGCTGTGTATGTTTATGCTCCCCAATAGAAGTAATGCATTGACTGTGGTAACACTTTAACTTTATCATGAAAAACATAAAAAGAGAGATATGAGACGTTGACTGAAACTCTTTCAATGAGTACTTTTACTTTGGATACTTGCAGGACATGGTTTGTTTAAAGTCCACTAACAAGGTCAGTTAGGTGTACAGTCAGACAAAACAGTCAAATTCAGGAAATGAAAAACCAAACAAGATTGCACTGTGTATAGAGAGGCAATTTTAGGATGACAATACTGACCCCCTGTATTTTTAAAAGGTTGCAGTTAAAGGCAGGACGTTTCCCACTTTACAGACAAGAGCAGTGTTGTTAGTTTGTTGTATTATCATTTAAATAGTTTCAGATATTCAGATTTAATTTATAGTTTAACCAAAACGCTGCACCTTTGTTGCAATGTTTGCACTAATCCTCAGCAATAAAAGCAACTGAATATTTGCATTATGACATTATTAATCTTAAGACCACTGTCTCTGTTTGATCCATTATTACATGTTGTTTTTCAGATTTTCATCCATCAGCGTCTCTCACAGTGAGTCCTGACAGATTGCAACACGTCACCTCTGACTCTGTCTCAGTGAACTGTGAGGGAAACTCTACTGAGTGGAGACTGCGGAGGTTTACTGAGAACAGCTACCAGTCATACTGCTTCTATAGGGGGAAAGTGACTAGATCCACATGCAACATAGACAGTTCTCAGCAGAGTGATGCAGTGTACTGGTGTGAGTCTGGATCAGGAGAGTTCAGCAACGCCGTCAACATCACTATACAGAGTATGGCTTCATTACATTTTCTTTTTCTTTTAGAAATTATTTTAAACATCCCATTATGTGTTTCAGCCCAAGATGTTATGTACATCTGCATTGTGGAGTACAGTACACTGGCCTCTGGTACATGGTATCTTAAGCGATCGTAAGGGACAAACAGTAACCAAAATAGTTGTTACTATTTTCTGTAGATTTAACCAAAAACGGTTTAGCCTGTTTTATGATATTTCAACATGAGTCTTCATCATTATTTAATAGCAACTTTGTAGGCAAAACAAGTTACAACAAAACTTTTGCCAGAAATGTCACCTGTGTTTGACAGTATTTTGTCACATTTTGTTTTCTTTGAACATTAACTCAAAAAGCTCAATATTTATGTCATTGAACCGTTCCAAAAGATTATTTTGATCAAATTCAATGTACAATCAGTTAGAAAATCAGAAGTCATTCTCACAGCAGTATAATTCAGTCGGGTGCTGGTCAAATACAGGTAATGCAAAACCGCACGGCAAAAGACTCAGCTCTGGACCAACTTCAAACTGCTTGGTATTTATTTAAACAATTGAAAAACAATTTTAATATTTTACATTTGAAGTTTGTCCACATTTGAGTTGTTTGGCATGTGGCAACAGCTTTTTCTATTTTTCATAAAAGCAAACAAACAAAAAATACCACTTTGATATTGTCACTTTGTAAACTAAATATCTAAATAGCTGCATATTGAAAGGCAAACAAATGAGTCCAATGTGTTTTTCTATCGAAATGAGAAACTCACTCAAAATGATATCAGAAGGGAGCTGAATATCTCTGCAGTGTCAAAGTCAGATGAGGGTTTCTACAAGTGTGAATGCTCAAAACAAGTGTCAGCACAGAGATGTCAGTTAACGGTGAGTAAGATTAAAACAATATTTGCATTGCTATAATAACAGTTATTATTTATTATTATTGCAGTGTCCAGGCCTGAAAGCGCTTCATTTCCTGTGTCGTCGATTGTTAGGTTGGTTTGTGGAATCATACTCATCATTCTTCTGCTCCTTTTGTGTTACTACAGACCGTTCAAAGGTGAGACCTTCTTCTATCATAATCTGATATCTAACATTCTATATTACACATTTTATCCATAGAATAGCACTATCACAAAGTACAAACCATTTAACAACAAATATATATTTCACAGGTTCATGCTGTATCAGGTTGGTTGAACACTCTCTTTTTGAACATAACAACAATACATTCCATGTTCTTATTTAAATGTGTTGTATTTGCTTCATGTTGTAGATCAAACCAGTCTGAGAGCGTCAATCAGGACTCCGATACAAATCATGTGGTCAACCAGAATGAGGCTCAATGTGATATGTACTCCACTCTTCTCCATGGTAAACTTTTAAACTAATCATATACATGTTATTTGCATTCGCACATTTAAAGACACATTTAGAAATAATCAGAGTATGTTAGATTAGTATCATATGTTTAAAAAGGTTTATTCTGCTCTGTAGGTGATACTTCTCTCTATGAATCAATCACACACCCTGAAGACACTGAAAACGGTACAGTTCATTCTTTTTTATTAACAATGTCAAAAAAAATATTTTCCTTGCAGTAAGCAAATCTGGCTACCAAGTCAGGATGCCCAGCTACCAGAAGTCTTAAAACAGGATGAAATTACTTAAAATCTTATTATTAGTATTCCTTTTTCTAGATAACAAAACTTCACACTGGCAATGTCCATACAGAGCTTTTACCAACCAGGTTTTAAAACCGCAATCTTCAAGTTGGAAGATGTGCTAACTATTGAGCCACCATCCCAAGAGACTACTGGTGTTGTGGCTCTAACCACAGCAATGTTGATCAGTGGGTTCACCACTTTGATCCAGACTGTAATATAACTGTACTTGTACAGATATTCATATCACAGGATGTTTACTTACTCAAATTGATTAATGTGACCTTGGCTTTATTTCCACTGCTCTGTAGGTGATGATTGTATATATGAATCAATCAAAGGCTCTGAAGACACAGATGAAGGTACAGTATACAGTGGCAGCCACTTGGAGTCAGTGGGTCCACCACTTTGGTCCAGACTGAAATATAACTGTATTTTACAGACATTCATATCATATTACTTAGTATCATGCAGTTAAATTGATTAATTTAAATTTGGCTTTATTTCCACTGCTGTGTAGGTGATGATTGTATCTATGAATCAATCAAAGGCTCTGAAGACACTGATAAAGGTACAGTATACAGTGGCAGCCACTGGGAGTCAGTGGGTCCACCACTTTGGTCCAGACTGAAATATAACTGTATTTTACAGACATTCATATCATATTACTTAGTATCATGCAGTTAAATTGATTAATTTAAATTTGGCTTTATTTCCACTGCTCTGTAGGTGATGATTGTCTCCATGAATCAATCAAAGGCCCTGAAGACACTGAAAATGGTACAGTACACCACTTTGGTCCAGACTGTAATATGTCATCCACTGTTTTGTACAGACGATATGTACAACAATATGTAGAACAATAAACAAAATAATTAGATAACATTAGGGCAAACATTTGTATAGACATCCATGAAACCCAGGGGATGAATCCCAATTTGAATTTATTGTTCATTTACATTAGTTTAAATTGACATAAAACAACTAGAAAAAATACATTTTGCAGGCCAAATTATATTATATCTTCATGCCATGTTATATCATGTCATGCGACGGCGCAAGAGGGATGGAGGGTTCAACATGGTCCCTGGTTTGAGATCCCTGATTCAGGGGACAGATAATGAGGGATATAAAATCATTTAACTATAAAATATGTGTATTTCAAATGCAGATGAAATCCAGGATGTGACATATCCTTCGATTGAACTTAAAAACATTTGAAAACAAGGTGAGTACTCCAAATAGTTGCAATAAATAGACAATCATTTTGAGATGTTTTGGCCTGAAGTAGCAAGAAGTAAGTATTGATATTTTTTCTGATTATCTCAACAGAGAAGCAACATGAACCAGAGGAGAGCTCTGTTTACTCTGATGTGAAGATAAGAACTGCTGTCATGCTCAGAGTTTGTATTGAGATCATCACACAGGAGGTCATTATGGGTCAGCTTGCAGTTCAATTAATGTCAGTCATGATATATAATGTGACATAATGTAACTACTGCATACTACCACTAGGGTAGTCATGATGTCACCACTTGTTAACAGCAGGCTTTCTCACATACATCATCGATTATTATCTCTGCTTTGCACTTTATTTAATTTCCATTTAATGTCCTATTGTACATTCTGCAGAGTATATAAGCTCACTTTTTTCTATGCGTAAACACATTAGCTCTGGTGTGAATGTGGTGATGACTAATTCTTGCTACACATCTTTATGTGTAAAGAGGAACTGGAGGTTGTTTGTTTTTCACTCATACTGATAAGCATCGGCCTTTCTTGTTTCTTCCCACACTTTAGTTGCAAAATAATCTCTATAGCACATTGGAACAAAACACATGGAGCGGTTTATTTCAGTATTTTGTTCATTTGATTTTATTTCCCCTTTATGCATTTTATATCTGACCTCTGTTGTAGATTAATATCTGATGAGAATTTACTGGCAATCTTTTTAAATGTGCCAAATTAAATTATGAATTTTGATTCTGGGCACACCACTGGGCCCACCTCACTGCCTAAATGCATAATGTGTAATGAGTTCTGTATGCATAATATGTTTTTATGTAATATTTTACATCAGGTACTATGTATGTATGTTGATGTCATTTTCTATCTGTTTTGAGAGAATAGAGGAACAAATGCATAGACAGCCAGCCAAATGCCTTTGACTATCCGTGACCCCATCTCGTCGCCCCTTTGTAAACTTTCTGGGAGCGCCACTGGACAGGACAGGTTGAGGCTAGCTGGTTAGCATGCTAACTAGATGATATAGATAATACAGCACCCACGTAAACACAGGGAAAACATGCAGTCCACACAGAAAGGCTCTGCCTTTGATAATGCTATATGACTGCCCTCAGTGTGACCTTATCTATGTGGAGGCTTTTGAATAACAACAAGGTAACTGTAAACTGTAAATTTCAGCTCTGGTGGATCTTTGAAAACATTCCAATGTCGCTGTCCAAGGTGCTGATCCTAGACCCTCCAGGAATGCTGAGGCTGTCCTGGGTAATGGAGCCTGTTGTGTCTAATAAAGTTCCTACCTGTCTACAGCACAGTTTTAAAAGGGACATCCACAGGTTATACTCACTTAGTAATCCATGGGGAATTGCAGAGATCATCCCAGCACAGAATCCTTATATGTCCACTTTTCACTATGTGAGCTCGCTCTGTATTTTTAAAAGGGGATTAAAAATCCATCCGGCTTTTAATTTGGAGTAATATTATAGTTAAGTTTTTCTTATATTGACTTTTTTTTTTTTTTTTTTTTACGTTGTATTGTTTTCATTGCATTAAGTTTTAGTCTTGCAAAATTGTATTCATTGATTGTTTTTATTTTTGGTCTGTTGTTTCAGTGTTGCTATGTGAAGCACTGGGCTGTATGAAAGGTGCTATACAAATAAAGCTGAGTGGGAAAAATACTGGTTTCAAGTTTGGCCATGACTTCACCAACAGGAAGTGACTGAGCTCGAATGCAACTGAAATAGTCTCATGAACAGAGGTGCGCGTGACAAGAGCCAGAGCACATGTTTGTTTGAAGTTATCTCTGAGGCACCCAAACTAAATGCAACATTATAAAACGTATGAATAATAAAAATAGGGACAGGGGTCTGACTCTGAATACTTTCTGAATGCATTCATTGCAATACAGGCACTGATACAAGTACAGTTGGAATAGAACATGCACAAATTAACAACACAATGTTAGTGTATTGTGTGATATAATTAAATTCAATGTTCTTCATGCATTTGCAATAATAACTCTTATTTATGTATTTATTATGTTAATGACATTTTTTAATCTAACATTTTTTGGGACCAGAAAACCTTTGTGCAGTCGACACAAAAATGTATCTAGTCAGTGGGCAGGAAGTGTGAACATGTCAATGTGGTCAAAACCACTGCAGTTTGAGTTTTGTGTAAAAGGGAAAGAAGAACAGACAGGCTATACCCAGAAGGAGGAGTTGATAAAAACTCACAGTTCTATGAAATGTAACTTCTCTCTCTCTCTCTGCTTTATTATTGCAAAGTAGAATCATTTTTCAGAAGCAGAGCAGCAGAGCGACAGTGTCAGTGCTGGATGTGAAGATGGGGCACACTTTGCTCTGTGTGCTGGGGTTATTCTGTGAGTACATCAATGACTTTCTGATTTTGTAAATTTTTTTTTTTTTTGTCAACATTTGTTTTATAGATTTATAAGCGTAAACTTGGTTGCTGATTTGGTTTGGTTCAGAGTGGAGGACTGTGTTAAATACTATTGATATACTATACTATATATTGGCACTATGCATGTACTGTATGGTGTCTAAGGCAGCGGTTCTCAACCTTTTTGGTGTCAAGGACTGACAAATTGATACACATCAGGCTCCGGACCTGTATTTGATAAAATGTCTCATTGATCCCCATCAGATAAGATTCAGTTATTCTATAACTGTGTGCAATGTTGGCAGATTAACAGTCAAGAGTGTGACACCAACAAATGAGTCATTCTTATACAGTCTCTCATTGGGCTAACTTCTTGTTAACACAATAATGGCTGTTCCCCATTTTTCTGAGGACGCCCTGTGGAACACCCCAGGTTGAGAACCACTGGTCTAAGGTATTGTTATGTACATAGCTCTGGATTTAAATGTATTGCTTTTGTTATTTTATATTTTTCATTTGAAAACATTTTATCTTTGTTTCCTACCTCTTTACTAACTCACAGAATATCATCACAGAAATGCTTGATGCTGCTGATTAACTGAACAATAGTTGGATTTTATATTTCTTTGATAATTGTCTGATGAAGTTTTTATTTTTATTTTAGTGCTGAATACACTCCTCTCTGGACATGCTGAAGGTGACTAGTTGTTTTCCTGTTTTTTTAAATACTCACTCACTCACCAAAGTCAGTAATAGTGACAAATTGCAAACCAACCAGTGTCTTAATACATGTTTAGGACGCTACAAACCTTCACAACAGCTTTAATGCTTATTCAAAAATATTCCTGCATCTCTCAACTCTATTACTCGATCTGTATGTTTGTATCAGTAATAACACCACTTGTGATTGTATCTGGCAGTTCTGTAAAGTTATTATCACTACCACCAAGTTTAGCAGCCACAAATTACTTATTCATGAGCCATATTACAATGCCCATTGTGTTTGACACTGTGTGTGTGAACATAAATATAAACTCAGTCTTATTTTTAAGCTCTGAAACAAGAAACCTCGACCTGCCTATTTCTTGTGGTATGAATCGCAGCACGTGTTATAATCTGGAGGGATGTGAGGAAAATAAGAAAAGAAGGGCAGATTATAGGTCGGTTTTTACAACAAACCATCTGAAAATGTTTCTTTGTGAAAGCCAAATATACAGTAATAGTAAAACTGAACCCATCCTCTATGTGTCAAGCAAAAACAATATTCTTCTTAACTAGGGATGTCCTTTAATATCGGCCCTCCGATATTATTGGCCGATATTCACTAAAAAAATGTAATATCGGGAATTATCGGTATCATGTTTTTATAACCGATGTTTGTTCTGTTGGCTTCAGCATTTCCGAGCCTGCATGAACGCAGCATGGGACGTTTACCGGCACGCTCTAGATGACGTATAACAACAACAACAACAACTAGACTGGCTGGTTGCCAACCTTGGCTAACAAGCAAACAATTTAAAGCTGAATGATTTTAATATTAACACGAACACATTAACCAAAGCTAGTGCATAGCTAGCGATTAGCGTTAGCGCTCTTTTCAGTATTAATACAATGAAAGTTGAAGTTGTTCTCTTATTTTGCACAGACAGTGTTTACATTTGGAAAGCCATGTTGCATTTATGTATGCATCCAGTGGGGCATCACAATAAAATTATACATAATGTGTTAATTCCACAATAGGGGATATGTTATGTTGTTATCGAACAGTTTTGGTGTAAAAAGCCTGCAGATATCGGTATCAGGTGATATCGGTATCGGAAATTGAGAGTTGGACAATATTGGAATATCGAATATCGGCAGAAAAGCCAATATCAAGCATCCCTATTCTTAACTATTGTGGTTGAATAAGCAGGTGAGTATAACGGTGTATTTAAAATGTACTTATTTATATCATTTATTGCTAATATGTGTATAATCATTTGACTTCTGAAGCTTCTAAATATCTTAAATTTATTAGGATTTTTTACTTTCAATTTACTTGTTTAGTTTATAATCCTTTTCACTGGGTATTTTCATGTCAGCAGTTCTTGATGGGTGGCTGTGGCTCAGAGGCAGAGCGGGTCGTTCCTTAATCGGAAGGTTGTGGGTTCGATCCCCGGCTCCTGGTGCCACATGTCGAAGTATCCTTGAGCAAGATACTGAACCCCAAATTGCTCCCGATGGGACAGGTCCATTTACCATTAACAGGGCCCTTCTGACCCTTCAACCCAACTGGACTCAGATATTCAAAACTGTTATATTGGATATATATAAACCATATAACATTTTATGACACATTTTGGTAGCGCAGTTTGATTGAGAGTCAGGGAAAAGAGAGAATGAAGCCAGCATCAGCAAGTTCCATTTTAAAGTAACCACATTTGTTCTCCCGTCCAATCACCAGCCACAACCTGCAATTCAACAAACTGAGGAAAACACAGAACAGTGTGAAGAGCACCACCCTCAGACAGGAGGGAGAACAGCACAAACACTCACAATCACTCAAATACAAATATGACACAGAGTCATAACAACATGCTGAATCTTTAATCAAACAATCAAAACACAAAAAAGATTTATCATGTTATTCACACATGCTGCTTGAAAATGAGGAAAATATCTCATGTTGCAAAATGCTGCTTTCTTGGTGCAAATGTGGTGAATTGTGCTCCTGGTTAGTTACATTACAGATACAGACCAGAAACAGCAACAGGGCTCCTTTTCAAGAATTAAACTATTGTGTATCCAGTCTATAAATTAAAGGCATGTTAACATTTCTTACCTGTGGGGACTGCTCTATTTACATTAGATTAAATCAGACAGTAATTTCCTTTTTATGTCTGTGTTCTAAATTAAACAGCACAAACACCAAAGGCCCAACTGAGAGCTGATGACAGAGACATTTCTGTAGGGGTCAGTGTGACACTGACCTGCTCTGTGAACCCATCATCATCTGGTTGGAAATACTTCTGGAACAGAGGAAAGAAAACCTCTGAACCTCTGACCACACCAGATGTTGTCTTCCTCTCAACTGGACAAATCAGAGTCTCACAGGGAGGACTCTACTGGTGCAGAGGAGGAAGAGGAGACCCAGTTTACTACACAGAGTACAGTGATCCAATCAGTATCAACAAAATTAGTGAGTCTGGAATTCGTTTTGAAACAGACAACTATCTTGTATTCATAATTAATTATTTATAAATAGGCCTATGGAATGATGTTCTCATTTTTGTGTCTTTCCTGTGAACAGTTGCAAACAAGGCTGTAGTGACTCTGCAACCAAACTGGTCTGAAATATACAGAGGAGAGAAGATCACTCTCAGATGTGAGATCAAGGACGGAGGAGACACTGAGTGGACGTATGAATGGAAACCACCCAGATCAAAAAAACTTCAAACAAACAATGAATACAGCATTAGCAGAGCTCAGTGGTCCCACAGTGGAGAGTACAGCTGTAAGGGCAGGAGGGACTCATATTCCTCAACAGACTGGAGTGACTACATCAGACTGACTGTATCATGTAAGTTGGACTGTCTTTCATCCATAATGATAATGTCATGTTTTTAATGTTTATTTATCAAAAATAAAAACATTTATCGCTCCAACAATAATAAAGTCTCTTAATGTTAGCTCAGTAAAACAATTATCTAGTAATCAAAGTATTCTCTTGAAATATAAATATTCACAGATAAATATACTCTAATGAACAAAGAATAATAAAGTTACTTATCGGGTTGAACAATGGTGCAGTTAGCACTGTTCCCCAACAGTAAGAAGGTTCTATAACAAACCTAACTTTAATGCAACTGGTTGAGTTAACTCACTGGTTTGTTTGATCAACTGTTAGTAAGATTAATTGCCTAACTGGCTAATCTACATTGCCTGCAGGAGTTAGTGTTCATGGTTGTTTGTGTAATGTATTAACCCTTTGATAGACTGACAACCTGTCCAGGGTGTAACCTTGCTCTCACCCTGGGATAGGATCCAGCTCCCTAAGACCCTGCAAAGAATGAGTGGGTACATATAAAGGATAAATAGAATGTATATTAAAAAAAGCTTAGCTCTTCTACACTTGAACAAATGTTTTTGCCTTCACAAATGTCACATTCAGTAGCAGCAAATTATTATACAACTAAAATTTTATATATTAATTTTATTTTGTAAATTCATAGAATTTCTAGGTTTGTGCAAAACAGGACTTGAGAAAGAGTATGAAAGATATAGCAGCACATTGCTCTGCTTGGCGTAGGAAGAACGTGAGCGTAGAATAAAAATGAATCCTCTCTTTCCCCACTCCCAAGGATAACCAGTGCTACAGCAGATGCAGTCTAAACAGAATTGATTTATGAATATGATCAGGATAGAACAGGCGTTGGGGAGAGCATGGCCAAAACAATAAACATAACAATGTATAATTTTACAGACTAATTTACCTAATTCACAAAAGAAAACAAAAGACAGACATCTATATCAACATAAACAAGAGAAATAGATCAACAAAAGGTCTTCTCACCCATACAGCTCCCAGGACTGCTCTTCTTGAAGATATTTAAATTGTATTCAGCAGAGATCAATCACTTAGTAGCACTGCACGGTCTGGTTGGTCAGAGAAGAGACGGTGAAGAGCCCCACCCTCAGACAGGAGGGGAAACAGCACAGAAATCACTAAAATACAAATATTTGTTTTGATTTCTGTGTCAAAATGAGGAAAATATCTCATGTTGCAAAATGTACCTTGCTTATTGTAAATTGCATGCATTGGTTAGTTACAGCAGAGATACAGACCAGAAACAGAAACAGACGCCCTTTGTCAGAATTAAATTAGTATATACTGTATGCAGTGTATGAATTCAATTCAACGTTAGTATTAATAATATAACTTAATGAAAGTTAAAGTCTACAAATTAAACTATTTCTTCCCTTTGGGGGCTGCACTATTTAAACTGGACAAAATCACAGTGACAGTAATTTCCTTTTTTGCCAAAGGCCCTACATAAATGTAACTTTTACTAGTGCAGCAGCAAATTATCATACAACTAACATTTTATATATTTATTTTATTTTATGAATTCATAGAATTTCCGCGTTTGTGCAAAACAGGACCTGAGAAAAGTCTGAATGTAATATCAACCTATTGTTATGCTCGGCCTATGGGGGGAACGTGAGCATGAAAGAAAAACGACTCCCCTCTTTCCCCACTCCCAAGGATAACCAGTGCTGCAGCAGATGAAGTCCAAACAGAATTAATTTATGCCAAATCAGGGTAGAACAGGCGTAGGGGAGAGAATGACCAAAACAGTTAACAGAACCATATATCATTTTATGATACTTACCTAAAAAAAAACAAAAGAAAACACAGGCATCGTACTTCGTCCTTAACATAAACAGGGGAAAATAAATTAACAAAAGGTTTTCTTACCCAAAGAGCTGTAAGGTCTGCTCTTTTACAAGATACTTCAGAGATTAGACACTTGGTAGCACGACACATTTTGGCACAGCACAGTTTGATTGACAGTCAGGGAAAAGAGAGAATGAAGCAAGTTCCATTTTAAAGTAACCACATTCGTTCTCCCGTCCAATCACCAGCCACAACCTGCAATTCAACAAACTGAGGAAAACACAGAACAGTGTGAAGAGCACCACCCTCAGACAGGAGGGAGAACAGCACAAACACTCACAATCACTCAAATACAAATATGACACAGAGTCATAACAACATGTTGAATCTTTAATCAAACAATTAGGGATGTCCGATAATATCGGCCCTCCGATATTATGGGCTGATAATCACTAAAACAATGTAATATCGGGAATTATTGGTATCGGGTTTTTATAACCGATGTTTGTTCTGTTGGCTTCAGCATTTCCGAGCCTGCATGAACGCAGCATGGGACGTTTACCGGCGCCCTCTAGATGACGTATAACAACAACAACTAGACTGGTTGGTTGCTAACCGTGGCTAACAAGCAAACAATTTAAAGCTGAATGATTTTAATATTAACACAAAATAAGTGCAATGCACCTTAAATATTTTACCCTGCTATGAGCTGTTCCTTAACCAAACTAACAATTGGCTTAGAATTTACATTAGCACTCCTTCAGGAGCATAATACAATTAAACACATTAACCAAAGCTAGTGCTTAGCTAGTGATTAGCGTTAGCGCTCTTTTCAGTATTAATACAATGAAAGTTGAAGTTGTTCTCTTATTTTGCACAGACAGTGTTTACATTTGGAAAGCCATGTTGCATTAATGTATGCATCCAGTAGGGCATCACAATAAAATTATACATAATGTGTTAATTCCACAATAGGAGATATGTTATGTTGTTATCGAACAGTTTTGGTGTAAAAAGCCTGCATACATCGGTATCGGGTGATATCGGCATCGGAAATTTAGAGTTGGACAATATCCGAATATCGAATATCGGCAGAAAAGCCAATATCGAGCATCCCTATTCTTAACTATTGTGGTTGAATAAGCAGGTGAGTATAACGGTGTATTTAAAATGTACTTATTTATATCATTTATTGCTAATATGTGTATAATTATTTGACATCTGAAGCTTCTAAATATCTTAAATTTATTAGGATTTTTTACTTTCAATTTACTTGTTTAGTTTATAATCCTTTTTTGTGTCCTAACTGGGTATTTTCATGTCAGCAGTTCTTGATGGGTGGCTGTGGCTCAGAGGCAGAGCGGGTCGTTCCTTAATCGGAAGGTTGTGGGTTCGATCCCCGGCTTCTGGTGCCACATGTCGAAGTATCCTTCAGCAAGATACTGAACCCCAAATTGCTCCCGATGGGACAGGTCCATTTACCATTAACAGGGTCCTTCTGACCCTTCAACCCAACTGGACTCAGATGTTCAAAACTGTTATATTGGATATATATAACATTGTATGACACATTTTGGTAGCGCAGTTTGATTGAGAGTCAGGGAAAAGAGAGAATGAAGCCAGCATCAGCAAGTTCCATTTCACAGTTTTGGTGTAAAAAGCCTGCAGATATCGGTATCGGGTGATATCAGTATCGGGTGATATCGGTATCGGGTGATATCGGCAGGCCAGCTGACAGTCTTGCCTGGGCCCGGGACGAGATAATCTTAGATGGGCCCCCCACGCCCAGATCTCTCCTTTTCCTCTGCTCTTCCTCTCCTCTGCTCTTCCTCTCCTTCCAATAACAATGTTTGTGTGCACGGTTTCTTTCATGTTCTGGAAATCTCTCATAAAGCTTTCTGTAAATTTCTGGAATTTAGTGCACTAGTTGACTTTTTCTCTACTTCAAAGGAGAACAGCAAGCATGGTAGGCAAAACAAGGCCTTTTTTGAGCTGCTATACTATCCAGTCCCTATCGATTTTTTTCCCTTCCATTGTGGGATGTGGAATATGTCAAATAGTTACTGCCCTCTGCATCTGCTGGCAATTCCTTTGTCCTCTCTGAGAAAGGTGCCATCACACGTACGAGGTTCACTCTGTCAGAGTCGGTCATTCTAGTTGGCGATAATGCAGGATCACTGAAATTAAGAGTGTGATCTCTGATCCATCCCGCTCAGACTCTCCGACGGGGCAGCGGGCCCCTCCCGCTCCACTGTGATCTCTCTCTCTCTCTCTCTCTCTCTCTCTCTCTCTCTCTCTCACCGGTAGCCTGACTCTGTCCCTCCGTTGTGGGGCAGCGGGCCCCTCCTGCATCATTCTCTCTGTCACCTGCCTGCAGCTGGATCTCTCTCCTCTCTGTCTCATCCTCTTTGACGGAGCTACCAAACTCAACTGTTTCTGTCGGAGATGTTGTGTCAGGCTTTTATACAGGCTGATGGACGTTAACATTAGAGCTGTCCTGTTAGGTTACGTTACAAGGCTGCTAAACGTTGGCTGCGCTGTTTCTTACCTTGCTCTACGTTACCTTTACCAGTTCCAGCTTCACCGTCACCACCTTTTTTTAAATACTTAAAATCTCTAAGGCCTCTTTATTTTCTTCTTCTCTTCTCTTTTCTTTCCTTTTCTGAGCACCAGACTTGTGCTGACCGGACTTTTTTAGCGTACTGAACTTCAAATCAACGACAGCATCAAATTTCGATAAGTGGCCAAACCATTTTTGTGTTGGGGGTGGGGGGTTCTTGACCACTATTTCAAGGACAATTAGGAAGAACACAAATAAAAAGATGTTATGTTACTCAAATATTACAATTGTTTTTCCACAAATAGGCCTATTTTAAAAAATGTAAAAAGATTATTCCATAATTTAATGAGGGCCCGGGGTTGGACAATATCGGAATATCGTATAGCGGGAGAAAAGCCAATATCGAGCATCCCTACAAACAATCAAAACACAAAAAAAAGATTCATCATGTTATTCACACAGATCACAAATGGCAGTGTCAAATTTCATTAATGATTTCTGCTTGCTGATAAATTTGCAAGTCCCTATAGGGCTCACCAAACTATCATATTTGTTTTAATTGCTGTGTGAAAATGAGGAAAATATCTCATGTTGCAAAATGCTGCTTTCTTGTTGCAAATGTGGTGAATTGTGCTCCTGGTTAGTTACATTACAGATACAGACCAGAAACAGCAACAGGGCTCCTTTTCAAGAATTAAACTATTGTGTATCCAGTCTATAAATTAAAGGCATGTTAACATTTCTTACCTGTGGGGGCTGCTCTATTTACATTGGATTAAATCACAGTGACAGTAATTTCCTTTTTTATGTCTTTGTTCTAAATTAAACAGCACAAACACCAAAGGCCCATCTGAGAGCTGATGACACAGACATTCCTGTAGGGGTCAGTGTGACACTGACCTGCTCTGTGAACCCATCATCATCTGGTTGGAAATACTTCTGGTACAGAGGAGAGAAAACCTCTGAACCTCTGACCACACCAGATGTTGTCTTCCTCTCAACTGGACAAATCAGAGTCTCACAGGGAGGACTCTACTGGTGCAGAGGAGGAAGAGGAGTCCCAGTTTACTACACAGACTACAGTGATTCAATCAGTATCAACACAATTAGTAAGTCTGACATTTGTTTTTGAAACAGAAAATGATCTTGTATTCATAACTTATGGTTTACAAATAGGCCTATGGAATGATGTTTTCATTTTTGTGTCTTTCCTGTGAACAGCTGCAAACAAGGCTGTTGTGACTCTGCAACCAAACTGGTCTGAAATATACAGAGGAGAGAAGATCACTCTCAGATGTGAGATCAAGGACAGAGCAGACACTGAGTGGACGTATGAATGGAAAACAACCAGCTCAGAAAAACCTTCAAATCAAAATGAACACAGTATTTGGTTTGCTACTGTATCCCACAGTGGAGAGTACAGCTGTAAGGGTAGGAGGGACTCATATTACTCAACAGACTGGAGTGACTACACCAGACTGACTGTATCATGTAAGTTGGACTGTCTTTCATCCATAATGATAATGTCATGTTTTTAATGTCTGTTTATCAAAAATAAAAACATTTCTCGCTCCAACAATAATAAAGTCTCTTAATGTTAGCTCAGTAAAACATTTTTTTTTTGTATGGGAACTGAAAAAGTATCTAGTAATCAAAGTATTCTCTTGAAATATAAATATTCACAGATAAATATACTCTAATGAACAAACAATAATAAAGTTACTTATCGGGTAGAACAATGGTGCAGTTAGCACTGTTCCCCAACAGTAAGAAGGTTCTATAACAAACCTAACTTTAATGCAACTGGTTGAGTTAACTCCCTGATTTGGTTGATCAACTGTTAGTAAGATTAATTGCCTAACTGGCTAATCTACATTGCCTACAGGTGTTAATGTTCATGGTTGTTTGTGTAATGTATTAACCCTTTGATAGACTGACAACCTGCAGGGTGTAACCTTGCTCTCACCCAGCATGAGCTGGGATAGGATCCAGCTCCCTAAGACCCTGCAAAGGATGAGTGGGTACATATAAAGGATAAATAGAATGTATATAAAAAAAGCTTAGCTTTTCTACACTCGAACAAAGATTTTGCCTTCACAAATGTCACATTCAGTAGCAGCAAATTATTATACAACTAACATTTTATATATTTATTTTATTTAGTAAATTCATAGAATTTCTAGGTTTGTGCAAAACAGGACTTGAGAAAGAGTATGAAAGATATAGCAGCACATTGCTCTGCTTGGCCTAGGAGGAACGTGAGCGTAGAATAAAAATGAATCCTCTCTTTCCCCACTCCCAAGGATAACCAGTGCTACAGCAGTTGCAGTCCAAACAGAATTGATTTATGAATATAATCAGGATAGAACAGGCGTTGGGGAGAGCATGGCCAAAACAATAAACATAACAATGTATAATTTTACAGATTCATTTACCTAATTCACAAAAGAAAACAAAAGACAGAAATCTTACCTCCCCCTAACATAAACAAGAGAAATAGATAGAAGAAGGTCTTCTCACCCATACAGCTCCCAGGATTGCTCTTCTTGAAGATATTTAAATTGTATTCAACAGAGATCAATCACTTAGTAGCACGGCACAGTCTGGTTGGTCAGAGAAGAGATGGTGAAGAGCCCTACCCTCAGACAGGAGGGGAAACAGCACAAAAATCACTAAAATACAAATATGACTGGGGGTGATAACAACATGCTGAATCTTTATGTTTGTTTTGATTTCTGTGTCAAAATTAGGAAAATATCTCATGTTGCAAAATGCTGCTTTCTTGTTGCAAATGTGGTGAATTGTGCTCCTGGTTAGTTACATTACAGATACAGACCAGAAACAGCAACAGGGCTCCTTTTCAAGAATTAAACTATTATGTATCCAGTCTATAAATTAAAGGCATGTTAACATTTCTTACCTGTGGGGGCTGCTCTATTTACATTGGATTAAATCAGAGTGACAGTAATTTCCTTTTTTATGTCTTTGTTCTAAATTAAACAGCACAAACACCAAAGGCCCATCTGAGAGCTGATGACACAGACATTCCTGTAGGGGTCAGTGTGACACTGACCTGCTCTGTGAACCCATCATCATCTGGTTGGAAATACTTCTGGTACAGAGGAGAGAAAACCTCTGAACCTCTGACCACACCAGATGTTGTCTTCCTCTCAGCTGGACAAATCAGTGTCTCACAGGGAGGACTCTACTGGTGCAGAGGAGGAAGAGGAGACCCAGTTTACTACACAGAGTACAGTGATCCAATCAGAATCAACAAAATTAGTGAGTCTGGAATTCGTTTTGAAACAGACAACTATCTTGTATTCATAATTAATTATTTACAAATAGGCCTATGGAATGATGTTCTCATTTTTGTGTCTTTCCTGTGAACAGTTGCAAACAAGGCTGTTGTGACTCTGCAACCGAACTGGTCTGAAATACACAGCGCAGAGAAAATCTCTCTCAGATGTGAGATCAAGGACGGAGGAGACACTGAGTGGATGTATGAATGGAAAACAAACAGCTCAGAAAAACCTTTACATCAAAATGAACACAGTATTTGGTCTGCTACTGTATCCCACAGTGGAGAGTACAGCTGTAAGGGCAGAATGAAACATGCTCAACAGTCTTCAACAGAGTGGAGTGATCCCATCAAATTGACAGTATTAGACAGTAAGTCTCATCATATTTATTTTGATATTATACAGTTCACTAAATGGCTGTTTGGTTGATATGTGTTTTAAGTAAAGTAAATCTTCAAGTTTGTATGTACTGATTGTACAGGATGCATTTGATCCACTATTGATACATGTTTACATTCTGAACCACTTTCCAACAGAACCTCAGTCTGTCCTCACTGTGTCTCCATTATGGCTGAGTCCTGGAGACTCTGTAACTCTGAACTGCAGTATTAAAGATCCATCTGCAGGATGGAGGTTCTACTGGTATAAGGCTGTTCCTGATCTATCATACTACTATAGCTCTGAGCTGCTACCTGGCAGCAGCAATGGGACTGAACAGGATTCCTACATCGTACATGGACCGACACACACAGCAGGATATAAGTGCAGAGCTGGAAGAGGAGATCCAGTGTATTACACTGACTATAGTGAACCCAAGTTTGTGTGGTCTGGAGGTCAGTTTGTTTCTGTCTGTCCTCTCAAGAAGCAGATGTTATGTCATCTATTTTCTGTCTGTGACCAACATAAAGTAGCTATATTGAAAACTAACACCTATGTTAACAAATAATTGGTGTGTACATTGAGATATCCGTGGTTTCGGGGTGGTTGCTGTTCTTTTGGTCGCCTCTCTCGGACCAGCGGGCTGCAGTGCTCGAGTACCTCCTCATGAAGACTAGAGGGGAGTTATGGAGCTAGATTATGGTTAGGTAGTCAGATAGAGAGAAGCCCAGTAGGAGGCTGTGTCTGCCTTTTGTGCGCACTGGTGGGTCCTAACACATTGCATTCCCATTCTCCTGTGTGCTCTTGTGATGAAGTCGTAAAAGCGTTTGTAGCTGAAGAGGTTTTAGATGAGTGTACAAAGGATCAGTTGGTTAAAATAGCTGACTATTATAAAGCTGATGTTGGGGATAGAAGAGTAAAATAGACAGTGATGTGAAACTTGAAAATGAATTTGTTAAAGATGAATGTGTTACTGTTGTAGGAAGAAGCGGTCTCTGTTGGGCCCTGCAGAGGCTGGTCCTTCCTCCATGCACACTGAAGAGTCCTGGTGCTAGATTCACATTGGAGCAGCAGAAATAGTTGGTTGTGCTGTGCATGAAATCAGAGATGGAGAAAAAAGTCACCATTAAAAATATGCGACAGGGTATTGAGATGGAGAAAGTACTGTCGGTTGAACTGCAGAGAGATAAATTCATGTTGATTAGAGAGGGCAAACATGCGGTTGATTCTCTGCTTGGCGATAATCCCGCTGTTCATAGCAGTTTGAGTATAAGAAGACTTTATGATATTTCCAGCTTTCCACCTTAATATGTGGTGTTTCTTACTGGACTGGGAAGAATTTTCTTGTTTCCTTCTGTCCTCACACTTTAACTTTATCACGAAAAACACCAAAAAAGAGAGATATGAGATTTTCACTGAAACTTAACTCGTCATTACAATGAGTCAACAGGCAGGTTAATGTACAAGATAAACAAACTGCTGGACATCTGAGACAAATCTGATCAATAAGAGGAAAACACTCAGTGTGTATAGAGACAATGCAGCAACATGAATCCCCCTGTATCTTTAAAAGATGGCAAGTAAAAGTAGAGCATTTATCATTTAAAATGTAATCAAATGGTAGCTGGTTTTCAAGATGGAAATCATAGTTTCACCAACAACACTGAACTGTGTTGTAATGTTTGCATTAATCCTCTACAAAAAAAAAAGCAGTACATATTTACATTATTAATCTTAAAAACACTGTGCTCTGTTTGATCCATTATTACATGTTGTTTTCCAGATTTTCATCCATCAGCGTCTCTCACAGTGAGTCCTGACAGAGTGCAACACTTCACCTCTGACTCTGTCTCAGTGAACTGTGAGGGAAACTCTACTGAGTGGAGAGTGAGGAGGTTTCCTGAGAACAGATACCGGCCATACTGCTCCTCCTGGGGGAGAATGACTGGATCCACATGCAACATAGAGAGCTACTGGCAGAGTGATGCAGTGTACTGGTGTGAGTCTGGATCAGGAGAGTTCAGCAACACCGTCAACATCACTATACAGAGTATGGTTTCATTATATTTCCTTTTATAAATGATTTTAAACATCCCATTATGTGTTTCAGCATATATTAGAATTATGTTGTGTACAACATCAACATTACATTACAAAAAGTTCAATATCCATGTCATTGTATTGTTGTTCCTAAAGATTATTTTACAAATAAATGTAGCCCTCCTACTCAATTTTAATTTGTAACAAAATGTTTACCTTGATTACCTTTAAACAATTTAGCATGGGAGGTTAATTGGTAGGAGCCTACTAAATATGACATTTCTATGCATTTACTTCGACTAGATAATCTGATCCGAGAGGCCAAGTTCAGTTAACTCCCATGCATAATTTTTAATAACCACCTTCCTTTTCAGTACATAAAAACACGTTTACTCAATTTGCAATATGAATAATCAGTACACTTTTTGATTATACTCAGACTGAAAACCATTTCAGCATCTTATTATGATGAGGATTGGATGTAGCATACAGTAGATTTATGTAACTTTATGGGTGATCTGTACTTAAGTTTTCAGTGTAGTTTGTAGGACCTTGTAGACGCCTGCTGTTTATTTGGTAAAATGGTACTTTACAGACACATAAGTTGTATGTACAAAAGATAAAACATCAGACTTTATGATCACTCGGTAAAATATATCAGTGATGTGTGATATTTTCTCAACCAGCTGATCTGACTGAAACCTCATATTCTTTGACTGTTTTACAGAAACAGATATTATCCTGGTGAGCCCTGTCCATCCTGTGACTGAGGGAGATTCTGTTAGTCTGAGCTGCAGATTGAGAAGACAAACAAATGAGTCCAATGTGTTTTTCTATCGAAATGAGAAACTCATTCAAAATGATACCAGAAGGGAGCTGAATATCTCTGCAGTGTCAAAGTCAGATGAGGGTTTCTACAAGTGTCAATACTCACAACAAGTGTCAGCACAGAGTTGGATGTCAATTAATGGTGAGTAGGGTTAAACATTATCTGCATTTTCGTTATAATATCATTAGTTTCAGATAATTTCAACTGTTGCATTAAGTAGAAAAGACTGTTTCCTTCTGAGCTGAAGAAAGTCTGCATCAGTGGTTGTGATGGTCATAATTTATTGAGAATGGGTAATAGCACACTGTATACTGAGATATTTGTGTATATATTGTACTATACAGCATTTTCATTCCACATTCACCACATGCATAGCATTAAAACTGGGATTTCCATTGTGTATGAGTTGTTTACACTTCTAGATTTATAAATGTATATGTATGTTTTGTCTTTACTATGGCTGGATGTGACATGACTCTGAAGTTTCTTAACAGTTCTTATGTATTATTTATTATTATAGCAGTGTCCAGGCCTGAAAGCTCTTCCTCTCCTGTACTGATGATTGTTGGGCTGGTTTGTGGATTCATTCTCATTATTCTTCTGCTCCTGTTGTATCGCTGCAGACCATCCAAAGGTGAAACCTTCTTCTTCTATTATAATTTATTATTTAATATATCATATATATTTCATTTTATATTAGATTTTTTATGCTTTAATTATTCAAAGACACATACATCTTTTGATTTTTTTCACAGGTTCATGCTGTATCAGGTTGGTTGAACAATCTCTTCTCTCATTTTGAACATTACAACAATACATTACATGTTCTTATTTAAATTTGTTGTATTTGCTTCATGTTGTAGGTCAAACCAGTCTGAGAGCATCAATCAGGACTCCGACACAAATCATGAGGTCAACCAGAATGAGGCTCAGCTATACTCCACCCTTCTCCATGGTTAGCATTTAAACTAATCATATATATGTGTTTATATGCATCTTTATCTTTAAAGACACATTCATAAAAAAATCTGATGATGTTTAATTGGTATCATGCAATTAAATTGATTAATCTTGTCACTGCTCTATAGGTGATGTTTCTCTCTATGAATCAATCAAACGTCCTGAAGACACTGAAAACGGTACAGTTCATACCTTTTTTGAACAATGCCCTCTCAAATCTAAGTGAAAATATTTTAGATATGAGCTTTCTTTTGCTTGCAGTAAGCAAATATGGCTGCCAGTGCACTTGAAATACGTCAGGATGTCCGGCTACCAGAAGTCTTAAAACAAGATTAAATTACTTAAAATGATATTTTCGGTATTCTTATTTCTTTGTTTGTTTGAACCTGCAATCTTCAAGTTGGGAGATGTGTGCTAACTATTGAGCCACCATCCCAAGATACTACTGGTGTTGTGGTTCTAACCACAGCAATGTTGGCTTCACCACTTTGATCTACACTGAAATATCTCATTAACTATTTTAAACAGACAATCATATCACAAGATAGTATTGTAAAATTAATTAGATTCATCTGAACTTGTCTTGATTTCCACTGCTCTGTAGGTGATGTTTCTCTCTATGAATCAATCAAAGGCTCTGAAGACACTGAAAATGGTACAGTATATCACTTTAGTCCAGACAGTAATATCTCATCAACTGTTGTACAGACCTCATGTTCCCCAGATGACCCACTGTATTTATTCTACCATCAACAATAATCAACAGTAATTAGATGGATTGGGGCAAAAACTACTACTTATTGAAGCATGGCATCAATAGCTCTACCTTGTGGCCATTGATAAAACACCACAATATGTTTTGAATGCATTATGTATTTACATTATTTTGAATTGAAATGCTAGGTGAAAAAATAAAATCTTGCAGCCTGATTATTTTATAATTTTTACATCCTGTCTTGGCTTGGAGGGGGATGGAGGTCTCAATATGATCTGATTTAAGGGGAATGATTACAAGGGATTATTATGAAATCCTCTAATTTGATAGAATACTTTAGAGATTTTTTGACAATAAAGTTTTTTTTTTGTCTGATTGTTTTAACAGGGAAGTAACATGAACCAGAGGAGAGCTCTGTTTACTCTGATGTGAAGATAAAAACTGCTGTCATGCTCAGAGTTTGTATTGAAATCATCACACACACACACACATTATGGGTCAGCATGCAGTTCAATTGATGTCAGTCAATGTCAAAAAAGTTTAATTTCAGAAATGTTACACACAAATATATGGCCTTTTAGTCTTTTGACTATTTTCCATCTCACAGATATATCATGAAGCTAAATTGTTTTTGTCTTTTTTATTTTACTCTCTTGCCATACATACTGCAGATTATGAAGAATATTGTACGACTGTGTATTGTACTTCTTTTTTAACATGCTACTTTATAGTTGTGAAAAAACAATATTTGAGCTTATTTTTTATTGTTTGTATTATGATTTACAATTATGTGTTTTAAGTTTGTATTATTATTATTACTATTTATATTATTATTATTATTATTATTATTATTATTATTATTATTATTATTATTATTATTATTATTTATATTATTATTATTATCATTCAGGTGAATTTGCAGCTTTAAAGTCAACATCTTTTGCATCAATAAACTATTTTTCCAGCAGTGAGTTGTCAGTTGTGTTTTTAATTGCTAAATTTGTTCTCAATCTCAATTAAGCACAACAGAACAAAACACATGCAACAGTTTATTTAATTAGATTTTCCTTTGATGCATTAATGCGTATCTGAAGTGATTGTAGTAACATATGAGGTAAAAAGGCATTTCAAATTACAGATATCTTTAAACCATTTTATAAGTATGCAGCCCACATAAAGTCTTAAAAATTAAAAATAAAATGTTGTAAAACAATAACACCAGCGATTTATAACATTGTTGTTTCACAAATCACCCGATTTTAAGTCTTGATATTTGGTCTTTCTGTTAGATCAATGTCTGATAAGATGTTTTAAATTTGCCGAATGAAATGAATAATTTTGCTTCTTGAAAGTTGCAATATGTAAGAATTGGTTCAGCTCAACATTCTGCTGTGTTACTGTCGCTGTCCAATGTGCTGATCCTGGACCACCCAGGAATACTGAAGCTGTCCTGGGTGATGATGCCTGTTGTTAGCGTTATTGTAGAGAAACATATCCCATCACCCCAGCACAGAATGTTTGCATGTCAACTCTTGGTTTCAAGTTTGACCACAACTCCACCCGCAGCAAGTGACTGAGCACGAGCGAAACTGAAATAGTATCACAAACAGAAGTGAGAGTGAAGAGAGCCAAAGCACATGTCTATTTGAATTCGTCTCTGTTTTCCCTTTGTCGTTATGGGGTATTGAGTGAATGAGGCAAAAAGTGAATACAAGCAATTTTAGCATAATGCTGCAACATTATAAAATGTTGCAAAGGTGAAGGGGTCTCTGATTACTTCCTGAATGCACTGTATAAACACAAAACACGCTCATTGTAATACAGGCACTGCTGCAAGAACAGAGGGCAAATACTGCATAACATGCACAAATTAACAATAAAATGTTAATAAATGGTGTGATATGGTTAAATTCAATTGTCTTGTGTTTAATGGATTTGCAATAATTATTTATCGTTAATGACATTTTAAAAATTTTTAGTGACCAGGAGCAAACCTTTTCACCATAGACAAGCTAATATATATCAGTGGGCAGGAAGTGTAAACATGTCAAAATGTGCTGTGGTCAAAGCCACTGCACTTATGAGTTTTGTGTAAAAGGGATGGAAGAACAGACATGAGGCTATATTCAGAAACAGAAGTTTAAGAAAATAAGTTCTATGAAATTTATAAGCATAGACTTGGTTGCTGATTTGGTTTGGTTCAGAGTGGAGGACTGTGTTACATGCTTGAGATAAATACTCTACTAGAACAGTTATTTTTTCACAATGTTTTACACACATATTGGCACTATGCATGTACTGTATGGTCTCTAAGGCAACGGTTCTCAACCTTTTTGTGTCAAGGACAGACAAATTGATACACATCAGGCTCCGGACCTGTATTTGAATGAATGTCTCATCGATCCCCATCAGATAAGATTCAGTTATCCAACTGTGTATACTGTAGATTGGCAGATTAACAGTGAAGAGTGTGACACCAACAGATGAGTCATTCTTATACAGTCTCTCATTGGGCTAACTTCTAGTTAACACAATAATGGCTATTCCACCCTGTGAAACACTCCAGGTTGAGAACCACCGGTCTAAGATATTGTTATGTACATAGCTCTGGATTTAACTGTATTGCTTTTGTTATTTTATATTTTTTATTTGAAAACATTTTATCTTTATTTGTTTCCTACCTCTTTAATACCTCACAGAATATCATCTCAGAAATGTTTGATACTGTTGATTAACTGAACAATAGTTGGATTTTATATTTCTTTGATAATTGTCTGATGAAGTTTTTTTCATTATTTTAGTGCTGAATACACTCCTCTGTGGACATGCTGAAGGTGACTAGTTGTTTTTTTCTGTTGTTTAAATATGCACTCACTCACTCTTTTTGGGTAGTGATATGGTGTGCTGGCCAGTGTGTTTTTGGTATTAACAAAATGTTCACTTGCTGCCTAATATATCCCACCCACTGACAGGAGCCATGATAACCAGATAATCAGTGTTATTCACTTCACCTGTCAGTGCGCACAATGTTAGGGCTGACCAGTGTACATGCACTGTATTTATATTATGTATGAACATAAATATAATCTTACGGAGCCCCTAAAGGGACATGAAAAAAAAAAAAAATGAAACGTTTCTAGTGAGCACTAGATAGTATCTTGTGCTCACTAGATAGTATCTTGTGCGCACTAGATAGTATCTTGTGCTCACTAGATAGTATCTAGTGCGCACTAGATCCGTATCTAGTGCGCACTAGATATGGATCGAGTGTTGGCTCATTTAAATATTAAAATTAGCCATGTGTTAATAGGTCACAACACGAAAATGTAACCAATGAAATTACTTATTTTGACACACATTTTAAGCCAATACGTATTAAACTAACAAGGTAATGTGTCAAAAGGTGGACTGTTTTTGTTATTTTCTCAAAAGGAGGACAGGCATTTAAATGCGGACTGTAATAAAA